AGATAGACTCTTGCTGTCTACTCAACGGGAAGAGCTGCCAGTTTCCCTGAACAAAACCTGGCTAAGGCCTGAGCTCTTCGAGATTTACCACCGCCATCGTCGACACCTTGTTGGTGGGGCTGCCAGTGCAAGTTATATAGTTCGTTTCAATTGCCTTGTTGTGTACAATCAACGTAAACAGAGTTTTTGTCATTCAGATTCAGGTATACTCAGTTATGTACTAGACTATGTTTCCCGAATGCGTAGCGAAGGGTTCCCGTTTATAGTTGGGGGTCTGGGGGTTGGAGCTGTGTTTGCATGGCTTGCGTCGTGTCGTCGTCTGTCGTCGTCTGTCGTCGTCTCGTCGTCGTCTGTCGTCGTCTGTCGTCGTCTCTCGTCGTCGTCGCGTCTCAAATTTGCTGCCATTGGGGGAAGCTTTTGCAAGTGACTTTGCATGGACGTGTCACGTGTCAGTTGGCGCCGCTAATCCATTGTGATTTGCAGGAGCAGGACATGTCGCGCGAGAAACGTGATGCAGATTGCTCCGCAGTTCCATTGGGATTAGCGTTTGGAGAGTCGTGTTTTTGGGGTGTTGGATGTGGCCGTGCCATTGGGATTTGCGTTTCAGGGTGTGGCATCGAAGCTCGGTTTTCGTGACAAGTCTCAGCTGAAATGGCGATTTTGGTGGATGGGAGTGGGTTCAGAACGGGTCGAAATCATTCCAAACGTGTGGTGTGGTGCAAATTTTGTTGAAGCTCACATGAGATGATATTGTCACTTTTCGTGGCAGGCGCAGGACTTTGTGCGGGTTTTGAGGCGTGGAAGTGCGATTCTCGTGGCAGGCGCAGGGAATCGTGAGGTTGCGAGATGTGACGGAGGTGACATTTCGTGGCAGGCGCAGTACTTTGTGCGCGTTAGACGTGTGGACGCGGAAAGATTCGTGGCAGGCGCAGGGAATCGTGAGTTTGTGAGTTGTGGTAGAGGTGAATGTCGCTGTCACATTGGGATTGGCGTGTGAGCGGATGTTGTTTGGAGGGGCTGGAATCGCGAAACTGCTTGGCAGGGCTGCGTGATGTGTGTGCTCCGATGGGTGTTTCCGCTTGACTTTTGGAGGAAGTCTCGTACGAAACGCTCGTTTTGCAGACTTTGACGTGTGAGTTTTTGAGGAAGTCTCGTACGAAACGCTCGTTTTGGAGACTTGACGCGCAACCCTCTGCGGAGATCGTGCGCGTCGAGTGCGCGAAATGCAGGCGAGAGTGCGATTTGTCCCATGCGCGCGCAACCCTCTGCGGAGATCGTGCGTGTCGAGTGCGCGAAATGCAGGCAAGAGTGCGATTTGTCCCACGCGCGCGCAACCCTCTGCGGAGATCGTGCGTGTCGAGTGCGCGAAACGCAGGCGAGAGTGCGATTTGTCCCGTGCCCGCGCAACCCTCTGCGGAGATCGCGCGTGTCGAGCGCGCGAAATGCAGGCGAGCACTGGCGACTTTGTAGTACAACTTTAGTACGCGGGGTATCTGGGGAGCTGGAAGATGAGAACTGGTGACTCGATAGCACAACTTTAGTACGCGGAGCAATCTGTGGAGCTGGAAGCTGAGAACTGGCGACCCACAAGAGTGTCCTACAAGAGTGTCCCAGAAGAGTGTCCCACAAGAGTGTCCTACAAGAGTGACCCACAAGAGTGTCCTACAAGAGTGTCCTACAAGAGTGTTCCAGAAGAGTGTCCCACAAGAGTGTCCTACAAGAGTGTCCCACAAGAGTGTCCTACAAGACTGTCCCACAACAGTGTCCCACTAGAGTGTCTCACAAGAGTGTCCCTTAAGAGTGTCCTACAGGAGTATCCCACAAGAGTGTCCTACAAAAGTTTCCGACAAGAGTGTCCCACAAGAGTGTCCTACAAGACTGTCCCACAACAGTGTCCCACTAGAGTGTTTCACAAGAGTTTCCTACAAGAGTGACCCACAAGAGTGTCCTTCCCAGAAGAGTGTCCCACAAGAGTGTCCCACCAGAGTGTCCTATAAGAGTGTCCCACAAGAGTGTCCCACAAGTTTCCTACAAGAGTGTCCTGCAAGAGTGTCCCACAAGAGTTTCCTACAAGAGTGACCCACAAGAGTGTCCTACAAGAGTGTCCTACAAGAGTGTCCCAGAAGAGTGTCCCACAAGAGTGTCCTACAAGAGTGTCCCACAAGAGCGCGCTACAAGAGTGTCCCACAAGAGTGTCCCACAAGAGTGTCCTACAAGAGTGTCCCACAAGAGTTTCCTACAAGAGTGACCCACAAGAGTGTCCTACAAGAGTGTCCTACAAGAGTGTCCCAGAAAAGTGTCCCACAAGAGTGTCCTACAAGAGTGTCCCACAAGAGTGTCCCACAAGAGCGTCCCACAAGGGTGTCCCACAGAGTGTCCTACAAGAGTGTCCCACAAGAGTGTCATGTAAGAGTGTCCCACAAGAGTGTCCTGCAAGTGACCCAGAAGAGTGTCCTACAAGAGTGTCCCACCAGAGTGCCCTATAAGAGTGTCCCACAAG